ATTGACCATGAGGGCGCGAGCGGCGGCCTACAGCTTGACAGTCAAAAAAACGTGTCAACGCATGGGCTGATCTCCGGATCGCCACAGTTTTCATGCAATTAAGGGCGTAAACATAGGCTTCTCATTCTAAAGAAGTAAAATTTATGGACAGAAGGAGGTGCGGGGCTGTCTGTCTAAAGTTCTTGTCTGCGTCTAAGGTTTTCAGAAAATGAATATATCGGAGAGTCAGCACTCACTTCATGTCACTAATATCTCGATCATTCCTGCTAACTCTACGGCCGTCCAGCGCCATCGAGAAGCCTGTTTAAGGTGGGACTGGGTCAGGCGTCCTCTTAAAAGGCTCTTGGTGGCACACGTGAATTGGTTTGTTTTTCGTCTACTATTTTACAAAGCTCTTTCCCGATATTTTTGTCCTGTGGGTCATTTTTGTCGGGTTTATGCCCTTGCTAGTTAGTGAACGTCCTCGGATGACCAGTATTAAAAGCGTCAGCCCCTTCGTCGACGTTTTGGTCCTCGTTCACCCCTCGAACCTATTCTCTTTTTTTGTTTAACTGCGTTTGATCTTGGTTTTGCTCCGTACAGAGAGTTATCCTTTTCCGCGAACTCGTGCGAGCGAACAAAGCTTCTCTGGGTATTCTGTCTCAAACCAACTGCATGCTGGACAGTGCTGCTGTTGGGGCAGTCATCATGATACACAGAAACCGCATTGTCGAGGTATGTTGACTTTCTTCCAACCATTGTGGGTTCCTCTAGGGATAGAACACGCGACTTCAACGCCGCTACACTCTTTTCGACTTAGCACTTGCCGCCCTATCTAGCATCACATCTCCTTATTGAATCAATCAATTTCGTCCTGTGATCACATAATCGAACCAACTGTTTCGCGAAACTGCGTTTCTGTCAATGCAAAAATGTCAGCTGTCGACTAGCTTTTTATTGTGCTTTAAACAGTCGAGTTTCAGATCCTGTGCCTAATTAGTTCTGTACTTCAAAATGATTGCTTAATTCTGCGACTGGAAACATATGTGGAAGAAATGCTTTAAAAATGGTTTTTCGAAATTTCTCTCGTGGCTTCAGTAGTTATTACAGTCGTTAAACCGTGAACCGACACATTACGTAGGCTTTTCAGTACAATGGGTTTGGACGGAGGACAAATCTGCAAGTCTACTCGTACACGATGACAGACTTGCTTTTACATGAGAGACCTCACTGACACCAGTTTAAATGCCAATCAAGAAAGCTCAGTACTTGTTTTATATTTTAAAAATAGATTATATTGCTTCCTTATTTTATCGGAAGTTACATTTTCTGGAAATAGAAGGCTTAACAGAAAGAATTATTTCACTTTTAACAAGCTTTATCATTGAATGTGACTTTGAGAAATTCGCTTGCGCACGTGTGTAGTCAGTCCTCCTTAGTTTCATTGGTGTTTTATCCGAGCATATTCTTACAGTTTCTTAGAAACTGCTTAAGGTAACTATTGCTGCCGCGTCCTTTCTAGTATTTAATGCTGTACGAGAAGGCGGATCGTGCTTCGGAAATAAACGGAAGCGGAAGAGGGCGCATACGGCTGGAATCAGCACCTAAGTGTGCTACCATATCGGTTTGCATCCCACGTATATGAGAGTACCACAGAAGCCACATTAAGAAGGAGCCATTACAGTCTGACTCTCAGTTTACCAGTCTATCACCACGCAACCGCACACTCGGTTGACACTTGATCTGTGTTATCCCGCTAAATGGTAACCCTTCCAAACCACGGCTTTTAGTCCACCGTGTTAAACTCAATCGCGTCAGATTGTTTATAGTTGGGAAAATATGCCGAAACAGTCGAATTCACTCTCTATTCCCATTCCTCGTCCACAACCTACAATTTGAGCCGGTCAGTTGTTCAGTGTGGCGCATGATCACAGTGGCCGATAGACCTAGTGGCCTCGTCTGCGCGTATCATATACATGACTCCCCTCCCACAAACACAACACATCTGGACTTCACAAAAAAGGGGGAAGGTGACTCAGATCTCACGTGTGGACGTGCTATGGAGCCCACTTCAAGAAAGAATCACTGCCGTCAGACTATCAGTCCGCCATTCCATCCAAACATTCAGAAGGCTGACTGCACGATCTGAGTTGAATCTTCAGTTAGCAACCTTCTAAGCCACAGCTTTTAACCCACTGTCATGGTTTCAAGCGCGTTGTTTTTTTGTAGTAAGGACTATACGCTGAAAGTGGACCTTATCTTGCTTGTCCTTCCTGTCCAACCGCTCGATTGTCCGAGCCAGTCAAACAACTAATGCTGCAACTGAAAGAGATAGCAGGCAGGAAAGAGCAGCCCGTCCGCAAAGCATATAGAGCCAGCGTTAACGGTTTGCAGCTGTGCGAACACCCCACTGTATAATATGATGACATTCACATGGGGAACGAGCTCATTTTAACACCCTTTAGGCAATAAGTCTCGAGGCATAATTTTGTCCATTGCTGAAGTTTTGACTCATAAGTAATAAAAAAGAATGCAACGGAAAGACCAACTCCTTTGCCCCATATTTTAAATTACCGGCTTTTCACTCCTCATTCATTTTTTAATCTGAATTTCACCTTTGTACAGAACTTTTTTTCAATGTTTTTGTCTCTTCGATTATTGTTTGTCTTTTTTAGGATGGGTATCAACAACTAGCGAATCTGAGTACCAACCAACTTCGAATGAAAATTCGAGTCCAGTTCATCAACGCTATGGTAATCTGCCCGTCCTCACTAATTTCGAGTTAATTTTGTAGTTTGGGTGTCTTCGGGATCTCATTTTCTGAATTATTGCTAACTGCTAAAGATTTTCTGCATCCGTTGTTGTCGGTGCCTTTAGCGCACTTCCAGCTTTCACTTATCGACTCAAGCTGTTCTGTCCTCATTTCACCAGCCTACCTGCTGCATTCTGTTTTCCCTGCAGGGTCTTGATGAGGTGGGTATCGACCTCGATGGTGTTTTCAAAGAGTTTCTAGAAGAGAGTCTGCGGCGTGTTTTTGACCCCTCTTTGAACCTCTTCCGCGTTACAACCGATCAGCGCCTCTACCCCTCGCCTACTTCGCATATTCAGGATGGCCATCTTCAACTGTTCGAGTTTGTAGGAAAGTTGTTGGCCAAAGCCGTCTACGAGGTAGATTACTTTTTATAAAATTTATGAAGGCATCTTTTTCGACACTGTCTGTTTACTTCGCAATGAGTGTACACATCCTACACTGTCCGAACCTCTCCATAACCTACTATTGTACCAAATAAGCCTTTAAGACAGAGGTAGGGAACTTTTTTTGACTCGGAGTCAAGAAAGCGAATATTTGGAAATTTATTTCAGTGAGAGCCATATAATATATTTTAAAATTGAATTCAATTAAATGTGAGAATACTAAGTCTCTGGATCTATTCTTTTAAACAATGTTGTTATAATACTAATAGGTGATCTGAAGTTACTTATTCCTATTTTCTCGGAGAGAGCCAGCTGCAATCATCAAAAAAGCCACACCTGGCTCGCGAGCCATACGCTCCCGACCCCTGCTTTAAGAAATACTGGCTGGTCTCTTGAGTCACGCATTTAAATGGAAGGTCTTACGCCAACGGAGTTGTACCGCCTGATGCGAATGTACCATGGTCTAGTGTTTCTCATGCTCCCTCGACATACTCGCTTTCCAGTTTATTAACACTGTCGCACTCAAAAACCGCTGTCCTGACTAATTGGCACGCATTCCCTCGTTTCTCCAATATACTTCTGCAAGGTCAATTTCCCCTTGTTGGAATGCCGAACAAAAGGCCTGTTTCTTAGCATATTACCTCTCGGTGATCTCATATGAGATCACTTAAAAATTAAGAGCTTTCGTAATTATCTGTCTGTATAAACGCATATTTAACCTTCATACTATATCTATTAGGTATATTTTTCTGATATCCACATGAGATTTTTAAAAAATTTGGCTCTAAATTAATTTATATACAAGTTTGAGGGTTTACCATAGGTATCCAAGTTTCATAACAAAAATCAAAGTGGTTAAAATTATGGGAGGTAATGGGTTGAAGCATTTTTGTAAAATAATTAGTCACATTGAAATGTGCTTTTTGGACATGTGAAATACGTTTACTAGAAAATGCTCAATAATTCATATATTTATGCAACATTATTTTCTCTTCATCATGCCTTTCACTTTTTGACCTTTCGCATGGACGTTCGCTGACATTTTTACAGTACTGTCTATGCTTCTGCGTGGCCACCACCTCTTAAAATGCGCAAATGCATTTAACTATCAGCACGCGTATTAAGGACACCAAACGGCAGTCATTATGTTAGGTAGTGCCTAAGCTAAAACATTGTTTAAATTGCTACTTGACTTTTCGGACCGAAATCTTTTTTAGGAATAAAAATGTCTATATCTGAAAGAAAGTAATCTGCAAAATTTAAAAACAATACTTTGGGATATTTTCATAGGAAAAGCATTCTGACAGCTTGTAAAATTAGTATGCTATAACGTCTCTTTTGAACAACAGGCTTACATATTTAACTTCGATTTTCCTCAAATCTACTTTATTTTTTTCCGTTGTGCTTTTTTACACCAGGGAATTATTGTTGATGTGCCCTTTGCCAACTTCTTCTTGACTCAAATACTCGGCAGGCAGCGCGCCAGCTGTTACAGCTTCCTGGATGAATTAGCGACATTTGATCGCGACTTGTACAAAAGTCTAACTTACGTAAAGGTAAGTCTTCCGAAGTTGACGGATTTCACTAAATGTGTTCCCCAGCGGTCTGTACGACTAATGCACATTCCTCCATGCCTTGCTGCCACATGTCTTTTGAATAATTACGAAAAAACTTGAGATAAAATTTGTTTACGTCTGCGTCCTGCCTTTTAGCACTATGAGGGAGATGTCTCGGACCTGGAACTTACCTTTTCCTACGATGAGGATTGTCTAGGTCAGATTGTTGTTCACGATCTGGTACCAAGTGGACGCTATATAACAGTGACAAATGACCTTAAGTAAGCAACTCATTCCGATCTTCGCCCCTCACCCGCAGGCTATATGTTTACGAATAGACTACATCCTCACCCCAACCGCCATTTTTAACCTGATTTGCTTCCTATAGTGCCACTTGGTCTCTGTTTTTGATCCGCTGCTGTATGGGGATCAATTCTCTGCTATATCTTTAAATCTGTCTTTCATCAATAATTAGTTATAATCTGGATTATAAATCCGTATCACTGTTTCGCTAGGCATTTGCTCTTTTACAAATAATTGAATCCCATGAGGCAAAAGCTACCTCATGTTACCTAATTTCCATGCATGTGCATGGCGAATAATAGACCACCCTAATTTCGTTTTCATTAGCGCAGTTCGCTGTGACTTCCGGTGGCCTCGGGTGCATGGTTTCGCGCGCTTCCTTTATCCGCATGCTCGTTCTCTCTTGTTATTGACTTTCTTGTCCTAAGTTTCACCGTCAGTATAGTCTACTGGGCCAATAATCTCCAGACCCTTTGGCGCGGAACGCCACGAAACGTTTAGTTGCGTTCATTGATCTATTGTGGTTGCGAGGAGGGATGCGATTTGAAGGAGCAGTTGGCTTACGAGACCAAATTTGCCATATTTTATCATTGGTCTTTGTCTGGAATGCTTCTTGATTGGAGTAAAAAAATTACTCCAAAAGTGCAAATTGGTGTCAAGACTAGAGAAGCATTTTCAATTGCTGTTGCCGACTACAGTAGACACCGTTGATCATGCAGTATTTTGACATATGCGAAAGACTAATACTATTTCGCTAACCGGAATTGACTTCACTTGTGATATTGATTATCGTGTAGTCTATTCTGAAGTCATTTCAGTCAGTATAGGATGCCGG